CATTTATCGATAGAATGGAGAGTTAAAAAATATGTCTGCGACAAAAATGAATAGATCAACCCTTTGCACTTTGTTGTCCTCTCTCTGGAGACATTGTAATTCTAGCATATCGGATGTACCCTCTAAATGGACATTAAAGTTTATTATATTGGAATGCTTTAAAATATATCATACTGTACAAAATTATAAGAAATAAATAATGATCTGAAAATAATGATTTTTTTGCAAATATATGCTCTGCGATGTGACAAATTCGTTTAAATCAAATATCATTATAATATCTTACATGGTTCAAAAGGTGATTACTATATATGCAGGGTGTCTCAAAATTATGATACTTCCAGGAAATGAGGGATTCCTCAGGACATTTGAAGTAATTTCTTCCTTAACGAAAATACAATCCACAGCTTTGTTTATGAGTTATTAATGAAAAATACTGACCAATGAGAGATCGCGTATGACTGAAGCCTCGCCCTCGCGACCACTGCTGCTGTGTCGGATGGTTCGCAAGGGCGAAGCACCGGCCTCACTCCGGTTGGTCCGCGCTCCGATTGGTCAGTGTTTTTCGTAAATAACTCGTAAACAAAGCCGCTGATTACATTTTCGCTAATGAAAAAGTTACTTCAAGTGACTTCGGAATTTCATTTCACGAAAGTAACATAATTTTGAGACACCCCATATAATATAAAGGTTCGTAAGTGCACGTTTTTGCGACAAAGTGGTACCGAGTAGCTGGTAGGTAACGTCTGAGATGGCGCGGAATGTAAAGGTTATTTAATATTTCATATTTCATATTTCATATTTCATATTTTTATTAATTTTATTATTCATTATTTTTATCATTTAATATCTAATATTTCCTTTTATTTTAATGATACGACAAATGAACAATCTATTCTGATCTTTCGTTATGAAGATAATTCAATTATACGCTTACGTCTTCTGGCATAAGATGCATGATTCTGATGTCGCCAATATGTAAACATTCGTTCTTAAAGGGTTAAAAATGCGAACATTATAATTCACTCTCCAATCTTCCGTTCCTATTTCAAGTATTCTAACTTAATTGTTGCATGATTTGACTTTATAATGCAATTTACAATCGTATTCAATTGCAATTCAATTTACATTGATGCGATCAACAGACTACGGACTTTTATTTAATGCGTTTACGAAAATAAAATATATGGATCCAATCCTATAAATGTCATAAAGCGAAATAATCTACAGAATTTACGGAAAACATCGTGGCTAAAGATAGGCAGTTATTTAAATTTGCAGCCTATTCGTGAATTATTTCGGCGAACATACGTTTCCAAGAATCAACGTCAAACCCGGCGAACCGCGAACAAACGTTTTCGAAAAGCCAACATATTCTCGCGAAGGCCAGTTCGATAACTGCTGTGTACGTTGCATCAGCGATCGTCAGATCGTAAGAACGATTCTTTTGTACAAGAGAGCAAATAGAGTTGCCGAGCAAAATTAGTTATCGAGGAAAAATGATCACCGAGGAAAAGTCATCGCCAAGGAAATATCATTTCCGAGCAAAAATCTACGCGCTCGAGCAATCGTAAAAACAAAACATGGCAGCGGATAGACCCAACCTTCGAGAAATAGATTCGTATCTCGTTTCTGTCTCCGCTCGTTTATTTTATGTAACGCTTCGCGCGCTAAAAAAGACGTTGCGTATGCGTCTGCGTGTCTAATCATCGTTACGATTACAGTAAATTTTCCCTAATTCACGCTGATCTTGGAAACCAAAATGGACAATTTTGGAAGAGGAGATACGATTATTCGAGCCTCGCGACTCGTTTTTATAGTCGTTGCCAATCAGTAACTATAAAATCGAGCCGCGAGGCTCGAATAATCGTATCTCCTCTTGCCAATTTGTCTATTTTTGTGTGCAATCAGAGTGCGAATTAGAGAGAAATTACTGTACAAGCTGAGCGTCAATTAGGGAGAATTTACTGTATTGTTAACGCCGTATTTTGACGATTTCAATGTGCCTCTCGGTCGCGTCAAAATGGCGGACAGCGAAGGCTTCGCCGGACTTGAAACGTTCATCTCCGGCACGCTCGCGGATCTAACATCATTTTCTAACGCGTTCTCGGTGTGCTAGAATTCTGCAGAAAATTCACCAAGTTGCTCTCCGGTATGCAGTTCGCGACCATAAATGCGAAATATTTGACCGAAGTTCAGAAAGTTTCATTTTTGCTAGATTGGTTATCGCGATTTTCAGCCGCAAAAGTCGGTGTCCTGCAATAGTGCCCCAAATGATGCAAAATTAGTATTAAAGTTGTCCTGAATGTTTTGCGAACGAATAGTTCTGTTATTTGTCTGTTTAGAATGTAACTGGAAAGCTCTATGGACCACGAAATTTAATTGAGGGCCTCAGAGATAACCTTTTGACCCTTGACAGTCTAGACGGTTTTACTTCGTAAAAAAAATTGAACATTTCTACGTGCCGGAAGCAAGCGAGATTTATTAATCATGTATGGCGGATCACGAAAAAGACACTTCGAAAATTGCACACCGGTGTCAGTTTATTTAATTTCTGGATTTAAGATTATTTTAATACGATTTGAACACAATTATTAGTCGCAATACGATTTGAAAAGTACAGATTTTTCTCAAATTCGTGAAAATAACGATGCTATAAATATTTAAAATGCGACAATAAAGTACATAATATCCGTTACAACACAGCAAGGAAAACTTCAAACGCGTCTTTCTCGAAACCATGTTTTCTGATACATCCGACGCGATATCTCCCGATTCAATTATCCGATTGACTTCGTATTTGGACAGAATATCTTCAGCAGACATGTTGCTATCATCCCTGCTAGAATGATCAATAGATCGTCATTTTTTCCTAATTCTTTTATACGCCGAAATCGCGAAAGAAGCTGCAAAGATTTGAACTTCAAATTAGGTATATTCTAGGTAGACAGCGAGGTATTTTATTCATCTTGGTAGAGACGATAGCTGCTCGTGTACTCTCGAATATGCCACCTTACTTATTCAGTTTCGATTAGCAGAACGGTTGCAATTGCGTCAGCCGGAAGGACACTATTTTCCAAACTTCGTTAAACAAAAATATAAGTCGAAGAATTTTTACTCAAAAAGGAGGAAATTAAATAACAAGTTCTTCCTTTCTTGAATAATTTCAGTAGACTGGAAATTCGAAAAAATAAAAAATAGAGACTGGAAAACCTCGTTTTTATAATTGTTGACAATCGGCGACTATAAAAACGAGCCGCGAGACTCGAATAATCGTATCACCACTTTCAAAATTGTCCATTTTTGTTTACAAGCCGAAGGAAAATTAGGGAGAATTTATTGTACTCAATTTTGGTACGAATATGTAAAATCCGTAGTCTATATTTATTATATTCGATTAAATTTTTACGAGTTTTCACGCGGATCCATGTTGACTGATACAGGGAAAATAATAAATAGAAATGTCGAAAAATTAATAGACGATTATCTTTGAATTGGTTCTTTCGGTGGACGGTTGTAGGCAACGCTAGATTCCAGCCGAGATTCGCCGAAGCGTGCGTCGCGCGTCGTGCCGGCGTGTTTTCATCGTGTCGGCGTTTCAAGTCGGATTAACTTCTCATTGTCAGACAGTGTCTATCTCGTCCAGCCCATTATCCCACTGATTGACGTATCTAATTGCATCAATTGCGTAATAAATGGAAATTAGGCTGCTGTGAAATGGTCAATGCCGGGCTGGGGTCAAGCGTCTGCTTCGGCGACGACACGGAAACGTGCGTGTCGCTACTTTCCTTACGTTACATTTTATTTAGATTCGAAATTACTTCAACGTATACATAATTCTCACGTATTGTTACCAATGTTATGACGTGCGTACCTATTAGATGCGTAAGTTTTACGTATATTTTGTAAGTTTCATGTATTATAGAACTTTTACTTATCGTTATAAGTATTACATACTTATTGAGTACATAACTTTTATGTATTTTATAGATTTTACGAATTTTATGAATTTTATGCTTTTTATAAGTTTTATATATTAAATCGTTTTCTCGTGTATTACTGTAAGTATTATATTGGATGCATTAGATTGAATACATTATTGTGTTACATAAGCTTTTCGCATCCCATAAATGTTACGTATTACATAAGTACGATGTATTATACAACATATTATATATTACATAAGTTTCATGTAGTATATAAATGCTACGTATTAGACATGTTTTATTTCTTCCAGGAATTTTATATGTACAGCGGCCCACAGAAGTGTTCGTACACCTCTTAAAACGTAATAACTTTTTTAAAACTCAACCGAACGACTTGATTATTTTTTAGACGATAGAAGGATTAGTCTACTAGACGATGACTAGAATGTCTTCTTTAAATTTTGCTATTACTTGGAGTGACAAAAAAATAAATAAAAAAACACGCTTTTTAACTCTTTTATCTGAACCTATAAGAAAAATTAAAAAAAATGCCTTTCGTACTCGTATGCATGCTGAAAATTTGATCGAAATCGGTTAACCCAGAGTCGAGCTACAGACATTGAAAAATTTTTAAAACTGCAGATTTCTTCCAATTTTTGGTCAAAATCGTGATAAAACTGTGATTTTTTCCATCTTGAATTTGTTGTAACGAATAACAACGTCAATTGATTTCGATACAATCTTCAAGACGCATATAAGTTACCGTGATCTACGAGAGGCATTTTTTAAATTTCCGTGATAGGCTCAGATAAAAAAATTAAAAACTGAGAATTTTTTATTTTATTTTGTTATTTTAAGCAATAGCAAAATTTAGAAAAAGCATTTCAGTCATCGTCTAGTAGACTAGTCCCGCTGTCATCTAAAAAAAAATTCAAGTCATTTAGTCCAGTTTTAAAAGGTGCCCAATTTTGTGGGCCACTGTATGTATTTGCCGCTGTCGTGTATTTTCTAGATTTCACGTGTTGTTATAAGTGGTCCACGGATTGTCATGCGAAATAAGACTTGCATCAAATGTACAGTGCGACAGTTAAATAAAAATGTACTTCCTTTTTTTTAATATTTCCAATAATCTAATATCTTCCCCATTTCTCTGCATTTCACCTATCCATTTTTGCCATAAATGGGTCGTTGAATAAGAGATTTAATATTAAAATTTATTCAATTATCCAAATTGTCAAACGTTTTCCCGCATAGTAGAATGATCCAGCACTTTTTATAACTACCAAAGGGATAAAGGTTGGATTATAGCTGCTGTAAAAAGCACTCATTTTGTATTACTTACCAAAAAATATATTACGCAATTTGTTACTTACATTCGACTTTTAACGCACAAAAGTAACGTGCATTAAGTCCAGCAGTCTAGTTACAAGTATTATGATAAGTAGGACTGCGAATCATCAAGCAATTTTCCACTCACACAGTTTACTCATCGAACACATTAATTCGACAGGAAAATCTCCCTCGTCGATTGTAATATTAATTGTATAGGACACGACACTACGCAATAACATACAAGAATGACGTCCGACAGACACGTCACTAGTTTCATAGTCGCCGTTTTAGACGTCAATGAAACTGAATATTTATTTCAACACTGTATAACGAGCTTATCAAACGATATTTAAAGACGTAAATGTTTCCATTCTGCTCTGTTCAGTCTTATTAAATATAGTTTTATCTCTGGCACACAACTGGCTTGCGATTTATTATTTGCATATAAATGCACTCTTGCACACGTTACAATTTTCGCATATAGCTTAAATGCACAGAACCCCGCGATCTAATATAGTAAATAATTTTAAATTAAGATTTTAAAAAGAGCCTTTCGATCTCTTTAGTAAATATCGTGCCACATTAAAAATTTTAAAATCGGTCTTTTGACCACTGCGGAAAGGAAACGTTAAATTAAATAGTTCAAAAGGAGTCTTTTGATCCCTTTAGCCAAAATACAGTTAAAATGGAAGAACTAGAGTTAAATTGATAAAATTAGTGTCAAATTAGTGCCAAGTTAGTATAGTGAAAATGGTGATTTTCTACAAAAGAAGAACCGGTTTTTTGACGGATAAAGCAATCTGAGACAAGTGCAACACACTTTATACGACACTCGAAGATAATCTCCTTTGATAACATCGCATCTACTGTAATTGCAGATTGCAATAATTTTTACCTAATTCGCGCTCAGATTATACACAAAAATGGACAATTTGAGAAGAGTATAATAATACATATAACTATAAAAACTAACTGCAAGACTCGAATAATCGTATCTACTCTTTCCAAATCGTCCATTTTTGTGCGCAATCTGAGTACGAATTAGGGAGAAATTACTGTGCATGATAGTACAGCTTCAAAAATTCAAGACGATTTCTATTTTTTACGTGAAAGCAATATTTTTTAATCTTTATAACAACTGGTCCGTGGACCATTACTTTTTCGAAAATTTGCACGATTACACTACGGGTCAATTTTAAAATGTATTACCGTAGGAATTTTCGAACTTTTGAGGGCTTAAATTGAAGCTAGAAGTGCCAACTTTAAGATAGGGTAGAGTAGATTGAAAAGTGATAATGACATCATTTTGAATAATTGAATAATCCCAACCGCTAACACGAAGAAAAATTACTCGATTTTAAAATGATACTTTATAGTAGACTTCAAACTGTTTTTCCATGCAAATTTTTTAACGCAATTTAGCTTGGATTGAAGCTGAAAGTGTGAACTTTAACACAGGATAGAATCAGCCTAAATAACGATCGCTGAAGCATTTTGAATAATCCCAAGCGTTGTCTTGCAGAACAATACCGCGATTTTAAAGGGGAACATTCAAATCAATTCTAACTAGTATTCCCGACTGAATTTTTAAACATTATTAAACTGAAACTAGAGCTTGAAAAGTCTACTTTGAGATAGGGTTATTTCAGTTTTAATAAAATTGCGAGATCGTCACGAAAGATTGAAAAACCCTGTCAAGTGACTCAAAAAAAGAACTGAAGAGAGGTTATTATGAATCGATTCAAAAAATATATTCCCATAGGAATTTTTAAACTATCGAGGGCTCAAATTGAAGCTTGAAGAGTCCACTTTAAATACGGGTAATTTTGATTTAAAAGAAAATACGAAATTACTCCGAAACATCGACTCAACCCATTCGCGTCGTGACCGCTACACCCAGCGTAAAAAAAAATCACGAAACAAATACTTTTCAAAAAGTCAAAATAATATCTGCATTTATTAAAATATATACAATCTTCAAAATTCTATTTTGAAACTCTCCGTTTACACTATTTTTCGTTGTTAACAAACGCTGAAATATGTTCTACACAGTATTTGCTATTTTGATCGATTTTTTATAAATTGGATTATATAATAATAATAACGGTTATGTGTTCGAAGCATATTTTCATTCGAGAACACTGTCCGCCGAGCGGGAGACGGACCGTGATTTACGTCGACGTTGATCCGTCGTTGTATGTATATCATCGCTGGAAAACATTATCCCGCGTTTTGAATTGGAAATAATAAACAGGTCGAATGTTGAAATCAGTTTCACTTTTATCCGCGAGGAATATTATACGGAGCCGGCAGATAATGTCAACGTGCGCGCGTTCGGTTATCAATCTTCAGATTTATTCGCGTCCAAAGTGTACTGTTTGCATGTGTGTGTGTATCGCGCCGGTGTAACTTTTGCAATCATCTCACTAATTGGCTTCCGACGAAATATAACTATAGAAATCGTTCGGCAAAATATTTGTCGAAATTTTCGGGAAACTGAAATTTTATTTGAAATCAATTTCGTGAAGAGCAAACCTTTCCGATAGATGTTCTTGCGAATGTACCGTCTCATTTCCATGATCAAACACGCCTATGTTTAATGAGACCTTTGTGTAATAGATAATTAATTAAATAATGGTAATAAATGATTTTTACTTGCCTGCACGATGTACTGATTAAATTTAATTTCAAAGAGACAGCTAGAATTGAATTCGATTGTCTTTATTCTTTAGAATCAAACATTCTAAAACTATATAGAACTGTATTAGTACCATATACAAACAACTATACATATATGTAAAGAAGTATACATATTTATTCTTCAAAGAATAATGTACAGAAAGTGTACAAATTACAGTTAATTTTATTTTATTGCAAAAACTCACATGTTACCGAGTAGTCATAAAATCTGCATATGTCTAACAAGCGATTTAAAACAGTGCTTCTGTTGTACAGTATTATAAGTTTTGTGATCCGAAGAGCCTTGACCGTTCAGGTTTATCGCCGATATACGTTGTTATTATGCACAATTTTACAGTATTAACTTCCAGCAATGGTCAATGTTGCGCTGTTGATAACACAGTTCGGATTTAAAAAATTGTGTTTCGATAAGGAGAAGGGGTAGAAGTCCCATTACCATTTCCGTCGTTACCGATATTTCACAAATGTAAGATACTTAGCAAGAATTAAGTATTACGTATACTCCATTCGTATCACGTCACGTTTTACGATTTGGAAGGAAAAAATTCATGCGATAGGCATATTCAAACGATGTCTGTACTTATCAAAATACAACCAGACCCAACGATGACAACTGTACTTATAAAATATAATATCTTGCATTTAAAAAAACTTTCAATGACCATTTCTAATAGAGATGTAAGACTTTTAAATCTGAGGCCAAAAGTTTTACAAACTTCGAAATTTGTTTGCAACGAAAGTGATTTACCGAAATAATTTCTTGAAATATTTGTGCCTCAAAAGTTGCTCTGTACTTTGAGCTCTATTAGTTATTTTTGTTTAAACGACATTAGATTGTTGAACTAGAAGATATCCTTAGGAATAGAAATTCTTATAATTATTAAGCAGCTGGAAAGAATAAAATCATTCACAGAAAATTTTCGATGCAACAATTTTTTGAGACATTCATGATTTAAAAGTTACTGTGCATCTCATATTCCATTAGTTATATTCAATAACAAATTATACGGTAAAATAGCCGAGGGGGGGGGAGGTTAACAAGATCTCTAACAAAAGAAATTATTAAAAGCATTAGATACCGAGAAATAAATAATTTATCAATATTTCTCGATCGCGAACATCGGTGATGTCAGTTAATAGAGGTTCATTCAATCACGCATCTATAAATAGCGCAGCATGATTTTTGGTCTACCTTCAGTGTATCCCCTCCTACTGACCTTCCAGGTACCTTTATGTTACCAACAGGATATCCACTACTGATTTTTGGTCAACCCTGAGTTTACAGATATTTCTTGTAAAAAGTCGCCACATTAGTGGGTATTGTACTGTCATCTGACAAATAAATGGTTCTCTATGACAACTATTTAAACTTTGCAAATTAATTTAAACTGACATCTTAGAAAAGCAATATTTAAACACAAATGAGATAACAAAAACTTAATATTTTCAAGACAATCTTGATCTAAAATTACTGGTTACTACTGATTTGAAAATTACAGATTGTTTAAAGGATGTATAAATTTGGATTAATATAAAAATAATAAATAAAAATTTATATTACCAAATGCATTTGCAGTAGTGCGCAAAAAAAACTGTCATGCCATCCACGTCTTTAGCATCAACATCTGCACTTTTCTCTACTAAAATTGCACTATCTACGAGTTACCAGATCTAGTAGCAATGCGCAAAACTGTCATGCCATCCTCGTCTATAGCATTAATATCAGCACCTTTCTCTACCAGAAATTTAACTATCTCCAGGTTACCAAATCCTACAGCACTGTGCAAAATTGTCATGCCAGCATTCGTTTTAGCATTAACCTCGACCCCTTTCTCTACCAGTAATTTGACTGTCTCCAAACTACCAGATCTAGCTGCACTATGCAGAACTTTCATGCCACCCTTGTCACTAGCATTAACATCCGCACCTTTCTCCACTAGAAATTTAACTATCTCCACGTTACCAGATATAGTAGCATAGAACAAAACTGTCTTGCCATCCACGTCTCTAGCATGGATATCTGCACCAGCTTCTACCAGAAATTTAACCATCTTCAAGTGACCGGATCCAACAGCATTGTGCAAAATTGATCTTTTATCATTGCTCTCAGCATTAACATCTGCACCTTCCATTACCAGAAATTTAACCGTCTCCAAGTTACCAAATGCAGCAACAATGTGCAAAACTGTCATGCAATTAGATTCTTCAGTATTAACATCTTCACCTTCCCTTACCAGAAATTTAACGATCTCCCAGTTACCAAATGAAGCAGCACAGTGCAAAACAGATCTTCCATCATTCGTTTGGGTATTAATCTTGGCTCCATCTGTTATCAGATGCTTAACCATCTCCAAGTTACCAGATCTAGCTGCAGTGTGCAAAACTGTCACGCCAGTCTTAGATATAGCATTAACATCTGCCCTTTTCTCTAATAGAAATTTAACCACTCCTAAGTGAGCAGATTCAACAGCACTGTGCAAAACTGTCATGCCATCATTGGCTTTAGCATTAACAGTGGCTCCTTCCTTTACCAGAAATTTAACCATCGCCAAATCACCAGATTTAGAAACACTGTGCAAAACTCTCATGCCATTCCGGTCTTTAGCATTAACATCTGCACCTTTCTCTATCAGCAATTTAACCATTTCCCAGTTACCAAATGCAGCAGCAATGTGCAAAACTGTCTTGTCATCCTTGCCTTTAGCTTTAACATGCGCACCTTTCTCTATGAGAAATTTAACAGCCTCCCAATTAGCCAATTTAGCAGCAATGCCCAAAACTGTCAGTCCATCCTCGTCTTTAACATCAACATCTGCACCTTTCTCTATCAGAAATGTAATTATCTCCAAGTTACCAGATCTTGCAGCACTATGCAAAACTGACCTGCCATTCTTGTCTTTAGTATTAACATTTACACCCTTCTCTACCAGGAATTTGACCATCTCTATGTCACCAGATCCAGCAGCATTGTGCAAATCTGTTTGGCAATACAAATGTTGAACATTAACGTTTACACATTCCTTGCCCAGAAATTTATCCATCTCCAAATTCCCAGATTCAGCAGCACTGTGAGAAACTGTCATGCCAATCTTCGCTTCAGCATTAACATCAGCACCTTTCTCGGTCAGAAATTTAACTAATTCGAAGTTACCAGATGCAGCAGCAATGCGAACAACTGTCACGCCATCCCTGTCTTTAGCATTAACATCAGCACCTTCCTTTACCAGAAATTTAACTGTCTCTAAGTTACCAGATCCAACAGCACTGTGCAAAACTGTCTTGCCTTCCTCATCTTTAACATTAAGATCTACGCCATCGTGTACCAGAAACTGAACTATCTCTAAATTACCAGATCCAGCAGCACTTTGGAAAACTGCCTCGCGCAACGCATATTGGCCATTAACATCAGCACCTTCCTTTATCAGAAATTTGACCATCTCTACGTTGCCAGATCCAGCAGCACTGTGTAGAACCGACATGCCGTCCTTGGTAATAGGTTTAACGTTGGCCCCTTCCATTACCAGAAATTTTACCATCTCCAAGTTACCAAATACAACGCAAATATGCAAAATTGTCATGCCATCCTTCGTTTCTGCATTAACCTTGGCTCCTTCCTTAACCAAAAATTTAACTATCTCTAAGTGACCAGATCCAACAGCAGTGTGCAATACGAATCTTTCCATATTGTTTTGTGCATTAACATCTGCACCTTCTTTTACCAGAAACTTAACCATCTCCAAGTTACCAAATGTAGCAACATTGTGCAAAACTGTCATGCCATGTGCATCTTTAGCATTAACATCTGCACCTTCTGCTACCAACAATTTTACTATCTCCCAGTTACCATATGCAGCAGCAATGTGCAAAACTGTCTTACCATCATTAGCTTCAGCTTTAATATTTGCACCTCTCTCTACCAAAAATGTAACCATTTCCAAATTATCAAATCCAGCAGCAATGTGCAAAATTGTCATTCCATCCCTGGTTTTAGCATTAAGATTGGCACCTTCCTTTATCAGAAATTTTACCATCTCCAAGTTTTCAGATTTAGCAACACAGTGCAACACTGGTATGCCCATCTCGTCAACAGCATCAATATCTACGCCTTCCGCTACCAGATATTTAACCATCTCCCATTTACCACATGCAACAGCAATGTGCAATACTGTCTTGCCATTCCAACCTTTAGCTTTAATATATGCACCTTTTTGTACTAGAAATTTAACTGTCTCTAAGCTACCAGATCCAACAGCACTATGCAAAACTGTACTGCCATCCTTTGCTTTCAAATTAACATCTGCACCTTCGTTTATCAAAAATTTAACAATCTCCCAGTCATGGTATCTAGAAGCAATTTGTAAAATTGTTTTACCATCCTTATCTCTAGCATTAACATCTGCACCTTTCTGTACCAGATATTCAACTATCTCAAAATCACCAAGTTTGGCAGCAGTGCGCAAGACAGACTTGCCATCCACATCTTTCACATTAACATCTGCACCTTCCTCTACCAGAAATGTAATTATCTCCAAGTTACCAGATCCAGATGCTCTATGCAAAACTGACATGCCATACCTTATTTTATCATTAATATTTGCACCTTCTTTTACAAGAAGTTTAACCATATTCAAGTTGCAATGTAGAACAGCAGTGTGCAAAGCGTTCGAATCGTACGCGTTTTTAGCATTAACATCTACACCTTCCTCAATCAGAAATTTAACCATCTTCAAGTTACCAGAATTGATAGCGCTCTGCAAAACTGTCTCACAGAACGCATGTTGAGCATGGACATCTGCACCTTTTTTTACTAAAAATGTAACCATCTCCAAGTTGCCAGATTTGGCAGCACTGTGCAAAACTGTTATACCATACTTTGTTTTAGCATCAACTGTAGCCCCTTCTTGTACTAGAAATTTAACCATCTCCAAGTGACCAGATTCAGCAGCACTGTGCAAAATTGTCATGCCCTCCTTGTCTGTGACATTCACTTTGGCTCCTTGCTTTACTAGAAATTTAACCATCTCAAAGTTACCAGATGCAGCTGCTCTGTGCAAAACGGATCTTTTATCACTAGTTTCGGCATTAATTGTTGCCCCTTCCTGTGCCAGAAATTCAATCATCTCCAGGTTCCCAGAGTCTGTAGCACTGTGCAAAATAGTCATGCCACCTGTGGCTTTGGCATCAACTTTGGCCCCTTCCTTTACCAGAAATTTAACCATACCTAAGTGTCCAGATTCAGCAGCACGGTGTAAAATTGTCATGCTATCGTTGGCTTTGGCATTAACTTTAGCCCCTTTTTGTACCAGAAATTTAACCACTTCCAAGCGACCAGATGCAACAGCACTGTGCAACACTGATTTTTTACCCTTAGTTTCAGCATTAATCTTTGCCCCTTCCTTTACCAGAAACTTAACCATCTCCAGGTTACCACAGCCAGCAGCACTATGCAGAACTGATGTTTTATCATTAGTTTCAGCATTAACCTTTGCCCCTTCCTTTACTAGGAATTTAACCATCTCGAGATTACCAGAGTCTGCAGCACTGTGCAACACAGTTATGCCATCCTTGGTCTTAGTATTGACATTAGACCCTTTCTTTACCAGAAATTTGACCATCTCCAAGTGACCAGATCCAACAGCACTGTGCAAAACCGATATTGCACCATCGGTTTGAGCATCAACCTTGGCCCCTTCATTTACCAAAAATTTAACTATCTCCAAATTACCAGATTCACTAGCACTATGCAATACTGTTTTACCATCCTTGACTTTAGCGTTAACATCTGCTCCTTCCGCTACCAGAAATTGAACAATCTTGAAGTTACAAAATTTTACAGCATTGTGCAAAACTGTCATGCCATTGTTGGTATTAGCATTAACGTAAGCACCTTGCTTCAGCAGAAATTTAATTGTCTCCAGATTACCAGTTACGGCTGCGTTGTGCAGAACTGTCTTTCCATCCATGGCTTTAGCATTAACATCTATACCTTCTTGTACCAGAAATTTAATCAACTCCAAGTTATCAGCTTCAGCAGCTCTGTGCAAAACTGTGGTGCCATTCCCGGCTTTAGCATTAACCTTGGCTCCAGTATTTATCAGAAATTTAACCAGCTCCAAGTTACCAGATCCAGCAGCAATATGTAAAACTGTGTCGCCATTCCAGTCTTTAGCATTAACATCTGCATCTTCCTTTGTCAGAAATTGAACAGTTTCCAAGTTTCCAGACGCAGTAGCATTATGCAAAACTGTGGTGCCAGATATACCTTTAAGATTAACCTTAGCCCCTTCCTTTACCAGAAATTTAACCACCTCCAATTTACCACTGTCTGCAGCCTTGTGCAAAATTGTCGTGCCATCCTTGGCTTTAGCATTAACCTTGGCCCCTTTATTTACCAGAAATTTAACCACCTCCAAATTACCAGATGCAGCAGCAGCATGCAAAATTGTTTCACCATCCCAATCTTTAGCATTAACATCTACATCTTTCTCTACCAAAAATTTAACAGTCTCCAGGTTACCAGATCTAGCAGCACTATACAAAACTGTTCTGGCAGTCTCATCTTCAACATCAACATCTGCACCTTGTTCTACCAGAAATTTAACCATATCCAAGTTACAAGATTCGGTAGCACTATGCAAAACTGTCATGCCATTTTTGGCTTTAGCATTAATCTCGGCTCCTTTCTTCAACAGAAACTGCACCAGCTCCATATTATCAGATCTAACAGCACTGTGCAAGACCGACATGCCATCCTTGGCTTTATCATTAACATCTGCACCTTGCTTTACCAGAAATTTAACCATCTCCAAGTTCCCAGATTCAGTTGCACTTTGCAAAATTGATTTGCCTAAATGATTGTGAGTGTTAACATCTGTGCCTTGAAAATTTTCTAAGATATTTGTATTGTTTGTTTCTCCTAAATATTCATTAAGGACCTGCATACTACTCTTTGGTTTAATTGAAAAGCTATATCTAATGAATTCTTTACATCGATATGCTATTCCTCCTTCTGCTTCATCAGTATAGTAATCAAAAAGCGACTTGATTTCTTTATTTGTANGAAATTTAATCAACTCCAAGTTATCAGCTTCAGCAGCTCTGTGCAAAACTGTGGTGCCATTCCCGGCTTTAGCATTAACCTTGGCTCCAGTATTTATCAGAAATTTAACCAGCTCCAAGTTACCAGATCCAGCAGCAATATGTAAAACTGTGTCGCCATTCCAGTCTTTAGCATTAACATCTGCATCTTCCTTTGTCAGAAATTGAACAGTTTCCAAGTTTCCAGACGCAGTAGCATTATGCAAAACTGTGGTGCCAGATATACCTTTAAGATTAACCTTAGCCCCTTCCTTTACCAGAAATTTAACCACCTCCAATTTACCACTGTCTGCAGCCTTGTGCAAAATTGTCGTGCCATCCTTGGCTTTAGCATTAACCTTGGCCCCTTTATTTACCAGAAATTTAACCACCTCCAAATTACCAGATGCAGCAGCAGCATGCAAAATTGTTTCACCATCCCAATCTTTAGCATTAACATCTACATCTTTCTCTACCAAAAATTTAACAGTCTCCAGGTTACCAGATCTAGCAGCACTATACAAAACTGTTCTGGCAGTCTCATCTTCAACATCAACATCTGCACCTTGTTCTACCAGAAATTTAACCATATCCAAGTTACAAGATTCGGTAGCACTATGCAAAACTGTCATGCCATTTTTGGCTTTAGCATTAATCTCGGCTCCTTTCTTCAACAGAAACTGCACCAGCTCCATATTATCAGATCTAACAGCACTGTGCAAGACCGACATGCCATCCTTGGCTTTATCATTAACATCTGCACCTTGCTTTACCAGAAATTTAACCATCTCCAAGTTCCCAGATTCAGTTGCACTTTGCAAAATTGATTTGCCTAAATGATTGTGAGTGTTAACATCTGTGCCTTGAAAATTTTCTAAGATATTTGTATTGTTTGTTTCTCCTAAATATTCATTAAGGACCTGCATACTACTCTTTGGTTTAATTGAAAAGCTATATCTAATGAATTCTTTACATCGATATGCTATTCCTCCTTCTGCTTCATCAGTATAGTAATCAAAAAGCGACTTGATTTCTTTATTTGTATTAAGCAACCATCTTCTTCCTTCATCATGATATTGTGCAAGTATATGTGGAATCCTTACAATTAGTTCAGATTGCTGCTCACCCTCTGGATATTTAAATGCTCTTGCTAGAGTTATCAGTGGACTATCTTCAATATTACCATCTATGTTCTTAACTGTATCTTTTGTATAATCTTTAATATCCGCAGTTATTGATTCAAAAGTTTGCCTTCTATTATTTTCTAACTTATCAAATGGATTACAATCATTTTTATACAGGATATTCATTGCAAGATGAGTTAGCTCATGAGCTACAGTACCTAATAGTTTATTTTCTTCTATCTTAGCTGCTATGTAAATTCTACCATCTTTATAACCAGTAGTTCCTTTTGTAGCTTCCGAAGCATTAATATCCTTAATGTTTTCATTATCAAAATCGAAAACTATATCAAGAGTATCCATATATTGTACCACTTTAAGAATTATTGAAACTTCAGGAATATCATCCAAATATTTATAAAGTTTTTCGATTCGCTCTTTGAAATTTTCAACAGGTTTTTGTGACTTTGACTTTGATGTTAAGTAAAGAATATGTCCTTCATCAATTTCAGGAAATTTAGGATCCGCTAAATCTAACGCTGTCCTACCACCTAGTGCACAAAGGAATGTAACCAAATCCTCATAATTTTTATCACGTGCAATATCTAAAATTGTTTTGCCTCTTGTATTCAGAGCATTAATTTCTGCTGCATTTTTTAGACAGTTTTCAATTTCTTTAATAATTTGTTCTTGTGGCACTTCTTTGTGTACAATAGAAAACAACTCATCATTACACAGCCTCTGTTCATCTTCGTCGCTACTAATTACTCTGTCATACATTTTAAAAATCTTGAGATTTTGAGATGCTGGTTGTGTCAAATCTTCTTGTCACTGCCCTTTATTATCTAACTGAGAATTTTCTGGATTCATGTGTATTTTAGAACTTCTAGTTATTTCTCTTGTAACTTTATTGGCACGCTCTATCTTATCTCTTTCTGAATCACTCTAATGTTCTAGTGTTCTAATCTGCTACATAAATTGTTATCTTTATAGAGTATCTTGTTTATCAGGCACCTGTTGGCATCAATAAATATTATTATAATTTAATTACAGGAAATTAATTTTAATTATAGGAAACATAGGAATAAGCATAGTGCAAAGCGGACCCATTATAATTAAAAATAATGATTATATTATAATCATGAATGATAATAAAGAATATTGTGAGCAGTAAATAAATAATTCTATTCATTGCTTTGTTTTCATTCCTATAATCCATCTGTCATTTTAGCATAAAACCCCAACTTTAATAATTAAATTTAAATTATGCTAATTATTACTTACCTACCACCATGTATATGAAAACTTTCAAAAGGTCTGTTGAAATACATAGAATTATCATATTTACAGTAAGAAAAGCAATTGTACCAGAAATTAGGCAACATACTAATCATAGTCACAGACATATAAAAGTAGACCCGACACCTGACACTTAATATATTATCACAGACTTAGGATTAGGATCAGGGTTTCTAGGTTCTAGAGAATGTAATCAAATCGACAGACCGCACGCACGCCTTTCCTCTCGCAGATGCCTATGAACCAGTGATAGTAGGCTACTTTCTTCCCTGCATACCACGTGGCGAATGTAGAAGTAGATAAAGGAATTTCGATACACGCTGTAGTAAATCTACACTGGTCATATGGTTTGCAGGAAGTAGCCTACTTATCTATTGCTACGAACTGTAGTATCTGCGGGAGATAAAACGTACTTACTACGGGAGATAAAACGTCGATTAGAATTCATTTTCTAGAAACCTTGCGTAGGATACATCAAAATAGACATTGCATCACAAATGATGTATAGAAGCTCCATTATTACTATTTCCGTATCGCACTCATCGTTACCGATATTTTATAAATTTAAACTTCTTAGTGAGAATCGAGTATTCTGTACATATCATTCACATTACGACACGCTTTATAATTTGGAAGCCATAAATTCATTGGGCGCACTTATTCGAACAATGAGAGTGAAAATATAAATTTAACAGCAATTTAATTTATTGGAGAATTACGCCTTACATCGCGTCAAATTAAAATTTCATAAAATATTAGGATATCTGTATATTATGATTTGTTATTTTGCATTACTATTTGAAATAAATTATTTCTTAAGTAATATTTCAGAATTTATATTTGTACGTATACTTATTTCAAATAAACTTATTTGTTATCTTGTTTGATTTATCGTATTTGTCAGTTTTATTTGTTACCTTTATTTCGAATAAATAGTGCCCATCCCTGGTTCAGATCTACAAGTTTCTAAAAGTACAATATATGTACATACAGTGGCTACAGTGGCTGCTAAAGATCTCTTACAGTCAAAAACTAAGCATTTCAGTAATTGTCTAGTAGCCTAGTCTCTCTATCATCTAAAAATCATTTAGTCCAGTTCTGAAACAAATTATTGCATCTTGAAAGGCATGCGAACACTTTTGTGGGCCACTGTACACAACAAAAGAGGAAATCAAAATAGCATCCATTCTATTGACATTCCTGTTCGGGACACCCGTTCTACGACCTCAGGCTGTAACCCGTAACGTTCGATCGAGTTCAACCGCTACGTTCGAAACTTCTACGAGCGACCGCTAGGTGGCCGCGTAAAGCAAACTATTCCCGCTGCAGAAATTAAAAGCTTGATATGTTATAAGGATCGAAAGAAAATTGAAAGTTATCGCTTCTCGGCCTTATGGCTAAGATCAAAGTGTAGTATCTGTTCTTATCAGCTTAATATCTGGTACGCTGCCCATAGGGCGGTCAGAATATTAATCTGTTTTTTGTAAATTGACGGAGTGTTGGGGCTTGCTCCACCTCTGTCGCGAGTCGGCTCGGCATTGCAGTACCGCTGAGATTGGCTCAAATTAATTATTGGAAAAAATAACTTGTACCTTAAGAGTAACTATAATAATAATTACTTGTTAAGTTTTTAATAATAAATTTATATTTCAACACAGTCTCCTTACATTGACAACTGGTAATTTGGAGACTGGTCGGGATTAGGTTATTGTTCAAAAATGATTTCCTTTGCTGATCTGTGAAGAAAATTGCTATCCATTGTCAACAGCAATATGCACTTATTTCCGAAAGGAGTTCTAATTAACAACTTAAAAAATCAAAGTTATATTTTAAATATTTTAATAATAATAATAATTTAAATAAATAATGCTGCAGAGTTATTAATATACAAATTGAGACATTGTAGAAAACAAGATTTGGTAAATTAATTATGGAAGATGAAGAGTACCATAAATAGCATTAAAGGAACAAGCGCTTCTCTTAATTCTACTGTATTTCTAATTTGCTCTACTTATGATGTATAAACGTAAATAGATGCGTACGATCGACGATGAAGTGTTACTATTAGATTGCGGATCTTTATGCAAAATAAAAATTGTGTAAGTTAATTGTAGGAAACGTAAATCTTATGAAAATGTCTTTACTCTATTGTAATAGTTTGAGAAAGTTGCACACAATATAAAAATATTTCCAAATTCTTTAGTTTTGTATTTGACCTAGTCATTTTTGTTATAAACGCATAAAATCCGCAGTCTAGTTATTACTTTGGAAAAATCTTCGAAAAATGGGGAGAAAAGGAAAGATATTTTTACAGTTTATTATAACGTTTTATATGTTTCGATATACATTTATTATTTATTGTAACGTTTGAGATACTTTTATACATTTTTATAGCTCGTTGAAACGTTTGAAATATTTTTATATATCTTCGTGATTCGTTACAATGTATTTTGGAAACCTATTCTATCCTTAAGTTTTTAATACATTATCGGAATAATTTTTCAATAACAATCAACCTATCGTAAAGTGTATTCTAGCAGCTTCAATTAGAGCCCATAAAACTTAAGAAATCTTAATAGGAATTTATTGAAATTGTATTTTTTTATTCAAACAAAAATAATCCTTACCGAATTTATCGTAAGATACAATGCAAAATCCAGCAAGAATCATTTGCAACGTAAGAAGCTCCCGTACAGCGCCATTACACCTAGTGGGAAAACGCTCAAACTGTTAGCCAAAATTGCTGATAGTCAGTTACAGGTAGGTAACAATGGTGTCGCTTATGCTCATTTCTTGTAATTTGCTGCCATTGCCATCTAGTGATAGACATTGAAAAGTGCGTGTCGATAATTTTGGCTAACAGTTTGAGCGTTTTGCCACTACGCGTAGTAGCGCTAATTTTACATTTTCAGGAACAGATAATTCGTACCGGACTTTGAATTGCATCTTATACCAAATGTGGCAAGAATCATCCGTTGTCTACATTTTCAATAACAAATAAACTTTTTATGCATGATACCGATGCAAGAGAGCCTCCTGAACATTCCTGTACCCTCAAAATATTGTTTTGTTATACTTTTAAATTAGTGGTTTCCGTGCTATTTTCGACACATACATTTTCGTTACGTCAAAAATCATTTATATTTGCAACAACTATTTCAACTTCGCATCAACTTTCAGGTCATTAACGACGTTTTATAGTGTCATATGAATGTAGAAAATTTCCTTGTACATCTCTATGTCCTGAAAATATTTCTTTAAAACTTAAATTACAAGAATTCATGCAATATTTTGTAATTAAATTTAATTTGTAATTAATTAATAAAAAGAGGACTAGAATAATTAGAGTATATGGAGTTATAGTGTTTAATGGCCCATCAACGGGTTAAATTTAAAAGAAAAACAAAGACATAAATAGATATAATTATATCAGGATCGATGTACAGGAGCATTACAAATTGTTTGAGGTCAATAGTGTTATGAACTATTTGTTCATAAGTAATTTAATTTTTCTAAAAAGGTAGCTGAAAACCCCTAATTGTGGCATATTTATACCACCCTTAATGAATAGGAAATGAGCCACTGATTATGGCATGATCTGGAGGGAATGTTAAACGAAGACTATAGAACTGAAACATAACAAAACGTAATTAGTTTATAAAACTTCAAAAAGCAATCGTTTAATACTCGAATTGCTCTCACCGGATAATTTCGATCCAGTATATATAAATCATTAAATAATTACTCAATTTTCAGCAATTAAATTAAGTGAATTGTTATTCCACTAGGAATAACAAGAAGGCTAATATGTTCACGAGATGTATTTTGAAAATATATTTTGAAAAATTGATGAATAAAGCTTGAAATACCCGCAAGGATCGACAATTGTATATTGTCGTCCAAGAGTTAAAGCAAAGGGTTAAAATACTGTTCAAAACAATATTGGAGCCAGCTAGAGCTAGGAGTTGTTTTCTGTCGCCAAACTACCGCTAGGTGGCTGTTTAGTGCAAATCTGTTCTCGCTGCAGAAATTGAAAACTTGAGATGTTATAAGGGTCCTTGCCAGAACGAAAGAAATCGCTTTGGCGTAAAATGGCGGCAAAGCTGTAAGTATATGCAAAATATATGTGTACGATAGAATGTACATATTATAATGCATATACAGGGTGTCCCACAATTATTTTAACAGCCGGAAAATGAGGGGTAGCTGAGGTCATTTGAAGTAACTTTTTCTTTTGCGAAAATGCAATCCGCGGCTTGCGAGTTATTAACGAAAAACACTGGCCAATGAGAGGTGACGGTGCGAGAGAGAGAGTCCGCGAGAGAGTCCGCAGCACGAGGCTTTGACAGATTGTCGAGACGGACTCGAGCCACGTTCGAAGTATTGAACAAATCACGAAGCGAGAACTTTCGGGATTTTTTTTTACTACGTAACAGTGATATTTTTAAGAAAAACTTTACTTTAGAACGTCTGAAGAATATTTACTCATTTTTCGGACCCGAAATAATAAATAATTTAACCGTGACGGCCGTCTTAATTTTCTAGTGTGCATGACACCTCGTGTGTAACATGTGAAATTTTTAAGCAAGGTGTACAGTGAAGGTTAACAAAGTACGTAAATGATATTTTACGTAAATGATATTTTAATTTAAATAATTCCGTGTCCGAACACAGTTCGACGAATGATTCGCAAAGCTAATTTAATAAATAATAATCGTGTTAAAGGACGTAAGGGAT